TCCTTTTTAATGAATCTTTCATTGCATTTCTATTATATATCCTATATTGCGTGCAATTACTTCCTATGTTTAACATATATTTGAATAGGTATTTTTATTTGAAGCTGAAATGGCGACAAAAAGGAAAATGATGCCACCGTTAACAATGTCGCTTTATCATGATTTGGATATTGGTTCGACCGTTACTGAAAAATCAGAAAACTGTACTAATGCAAATGATGTTGGTGAAGATTCCAGTTGTAGCATGCAGAAGAAATCCCGAAACGAGAGTGCAACTTCTGAAGGGTCGAGCAGGACTGGTGAAGATGATGGTGCTGGTAGGTGGACGATTGCTTCATTCTCTTAAAAGGCGCGTCTTTGATTGTCCAATTCCTGAATGCCTTCAATTTTTATTATAAAACCCTTTTCCGGAAGGTATTACTTTCATTACTCTCTACTTTCCATTTGAATGGACGTAATTTAATTTATTTTGACTTCAAAGCGATTCCTAATGATTAAGTGAAAATTATAGGGCTTGCTTGTTGTGAGAATCTTTACTGTACTATTCAAAAAACAAAAATTAAATGAAATTTGGTTGCAGTCAGTAAACTGGTTAGCGTATGTGGTTGGCGGAAAGGTGAGCGTCAAGATATGCAAGATGCACATGTTCGATTGGATCACTTCGGATTCACCTCCATCTGTAACATGTAATCACAACAGACACAATGAAACACAAAATCTCTTTTAACAGTTTGGATCAATTTTATTCACTTCATACTTTTTTAGTCAACGAAGTGCTTTTTATGCGATTTTTGATGGTCATGCTGGACGTCGAGCTGCAGATTTTGCTGCTGAACGTTTGCCGCCTAAACTGAAGAGGAAATTAGAAGCATGTAAGTTTTATCTTGAATGTTTACAATTTCTGTTCTAGAAGTAAATGGTGTTAGATATAAACTGCCAAATATACAGCACTCGAAAATAAAATGAATTGTTAAGAACAAAAGAAATAGGGCTAGCATTCTATAAAAAAGAATAAATCTATTTCACTAACATTACCATGATTTTTCTTACGAGAATGTTAACAAATGAATAGGATAATTTATTTAGATCTTAAATATGCATTCTGTACAAAACATTATTAGAAAACTTTAAGTAATTGATGCTCACCTTACTTTACTTCATTCCAAAAATTATATGAATAAAAGAAATAAAATTAACTGTGGTCAGATAGCTTATACGTAATTCTTGCAAAGGTATGTGTCATTTATTGGATCAGTAATAATTCCAGATTCTGATTTCGCTTCTTTGGAGAAAGGAATAAAAAAATGCTTCATCGATACTTATAAGCAAATCGATGAACAATTTCTAGTTGAAGCTCGTCGAACGTTAGTTCTTTCTTTTGCTGTGACTCTAATTTTTGTACATTGTGTTTCTGTTTTTTTTCTTTGTTTCAAGACTTTATTCTACTAAAGGAGACCTTCATGGAAAGATGGTACGACAGCGACCACAATTGTGCTGATTAACAATATTATTTATTGTGCAAACATCGGCGATTCAAAGGTTTTTATAGAAACTGATCTAATTCCGCTTTTAACTGTTAGATTATTATGAAGTAATTGTTAGGTTAGTACGAAGTGAAAAAGAAAGATCTTTTGAAATGGAAATAATGAGAATGTATTATATATAAGTCAACGCATAAATATGGTATGAGAGAGGTTTTCCATGTTAAATGATGGATTGCATTCGAAATTATACAAGTTAAGCGGTAAATTCTACCTTTCAGGCAGTAGTTTGCCGTAGTAAGTCAGGAACTGAGGAAGCAAAGGATGTTGCAATGCAGTTAACAGTAGATCATTCGCCGTTGCATTTCGAAGAGCGAATGCGGATTCAGAAGGCAGGCGGTAATGTTAAGTAAGTGTACTGATATATCCATTTATTCGAATATAGCAGTTTAAAAGCTTTGTTATAGCGGATTTCATTATTCTGTGTTTTACTGTTCTAAAATGAAATATTTGAGGGATGGTCGCATAATGGGCATTTTGGAGGTTTCCCGATCGATTGGGGATGGTCAGTTCAAGGCATACGGACTCATTTGTACACCTGATGTCAAAAAATTTTCTATCACGAAGGATGACATGTTAGTTTTCTGATTTCGTATTTCTTCAGCATAATCGATTCCGAATTAAATAATATACGGAAGTAGTAATTGATTAAGCGCTGACATGAACTTCTTATGTATGCTTGGTAACTCTGTTGCTACTTTATAATCCCGTGATGCAGAATACTGAATTTTTGAGAATTTTTAAGTATTGACAGTTTTTCTGAATCATTTTTAAAATGTTAATATAGAATTTTAAACTTCAATTAAAGATATGGGTTTTAGATTTGTTCTCATTGCGTGTGATGGTTTGTGGAAAACGTTCAGCAATCAACAGGCAGTGGATTACGTTATGATGAAAATAAGACAGTTAACGAAGGTTTGGCTATTTATGTATCATTATTGTTTTAATCTGCATTTCTGGATTTGATATTTTTTTTTTTAGCCTGGTGTTGAGCAAGAATCAGAAACACGTGAAATGATTTGGCAGAATGTTGCGGATGACTTGGCCGCAGAATCGGTAAAACGAGGCTGTGGCGATAATGTTTCCGTTATTATTGTGGTACTTAATGATTCGCAGGATGATTTGATTATGAAACAAAATATTTCTTAAGCATTTTTAGTGAAAATTTGCGTATTAATAACTATAAATTTAAAAAAAAGTAGTTTAATGAGTCGGTAGAGCTATTTTATAAAAAGGAATTCCGTGGGTTTAATTTAGACTAGTTTTTAATCTAAAATTATTTTCATGCCTGCGGAAAAGGTTTTTGTTGCAAACTGAAGGTTTCTTGATTTTTATTCATTTTATTCCCGGTTTCCCAATCTATCTTGATAATAATAATGTTGTATTTACTGTTCTTATCGAAACTATTAGTTGACTAATAGTAATACACATGCATTAATAATACATATGCGTGTAAAAGAAAATAATTTTTTTATTCGTTACATTTGCGTTTATTTTCAAAAATGCTTCCATTATAAGGTGATATTTTATTTGTATATGAATTTACTTGCTTTTTTTATTAATTTAACGATATGCAACTAAATCTTTGCATTTGATTTATGACTAATTTTTCCTTCTAAATTAAATGCTTTCCTTAAATTATTTTTATAGTTTTTAGTTGAATTCATTTTCACACTTCCTTTATTTTTTCCTTTTGTTACACAGCTGAAAATTATCGCAAGATTAAATGAAAGTTTTTACAAATCTGATGCGACCCAATTTGTCATTTGATTTTCAAAGCTAGCAGAATTTAATTAGATTCAGAGTCCATAATTCCGCCTTTTTTTCTACTGTTTTCCTCGAATTTAAAAACCATACTGTTGACCACTTTGTGAAGATTCTCTCACTCTATTTTCACCATGGGTATTAGAATATTGCTGTTAAAGAAACTTCAAATGCCTCTGATCATGTCTTCTACCAAAAGTGCGTTTTAATGAATTAAATTGATGGGCATATCTTAATATGATTCATCATAATCATGAAGTAAGATCGAGATTTGGCAGATACTGAAGCACAGTGATACCACGCTAGTTCGGTTATCCATAATTTTCTTTTGATAAAGAAAACTGTGACATACATATTATAACTATTAAAACCAAAATTAAGATTGAATTAATGACATGAAATACTTACACGATCAAAGCAAAAGATGTGATGAAAAAAAGGGAGATGAGTTGTCCCTTTAAATTATTCTGCATATTTTCATTTTATTTTAATTTTTGCATAATTACTTCTATATATATTTATTTTCGATCCAGGTTTATTATCTCATTTCTCTCCATCGGTTGGTCGGTTATACAGCAACTGTAAGCTCGAATTTTGCTTCATCGTAGATATAATAGAGGGTATTACTTATCTTCGATACAATATAATACTTAGAAAATAAATTCAAGTAATGAAGAAAAAGTTTTAAATTCATCAAACAATCGCAATTTAATCAAATATTTAATAAATAATCATGTATAAGAGAAAAGATAACTGTAATAGATTGATTGATGCAAATAATTACAACTAATCAAAAATAATACGGAATGTAATTTTCAATATTAACCATGTAAAGTTATAGCTTAGAAAATTGATTAGCTCAAATATTTCTAATGAAATATGCAATTTTGATTTTTTTTTAGCTACTGATAACATTACATTAAAATTGATTTGTGAACTTTGCTTTTCTTCCATTCAATGTATTTCTATTTTGATTTACATTTCTTCTCATTCTAAAATTTTACTAATATTTTCCCCTTTTCTCTTTCATTTTCAATTTGCAATTGAAAATATATTTGTGTTACAAAAATTATTTCGAAAAACAAAAAACAAACATTCCAATTGTTGGCACTTTAAAATATTCCACAATTGATTTGTTGTCGATTATTAAGGAAATGTTTCATACTTTATCACCTTTTCCTTTTAACAAATTTAAAATTATTATTCAAATTGTATTGTAAATTTGTAGAAGTACAAAATGCGATATTTATTTGGAGTAGTATTTTTGATGCTATTTCACTTAACTTCTCAATGGTATTCTAATAATGGCTTTGGCTGTAAGTTTGATTCGTTTTTTTTTTTTCATTTGCTAAAAAATTTTCAATAATTTAAGTTTTTAATTATCACTTTTGTGCATTAAGTGTTAAAATTGAAAGTGCAAATATAGAATGAAGGGAAAGAGAGAGAAAGGAAGAGAGAAGACGAAAGAAAATGATTATTTGCATTTCATGCATGAATTTCAAGTTTTTCAAATGAAATGAAAAATTACAGATGGATCTTAAATTTACAAATAATTTTAAAGAAATTTATAAAAATAATTTCAAAAAAATTCTAGTTTATAAGAGAATACAAATAAAATAATATGGAGAATGAGAAGCAAAGAAAGTAAAGGAAATAGGAAAAATATGATTGTACCCTATCGAGTATTTCACAAAAATATGTTTTACTTTTAAAATGTGGATTGATTGTCCTTTTGTAATTAATAACGTCTTAACAATATGACAAACACTTAATAATTAAAGTATGTATCAGTTAAGAAGGAAAAATGTAACAAATATTCCAGAAATAATGCTAATTTTTTGCTCTCAAAATTTCATAATCATTTATAATAACATGAAAAAAAGTGAAGGAAAGAAATGGAAAAAAATTATTTTAAAAAAACATGCAGAAATTATTTCACAATAAGAAAATAATAAAATTTGCAAATAAAAAGTAGATGATAAAATGATATCAATTCAAAATTGTCAAAATTACATTAATTTCATACGTTTCCACTTAAAAATTTAGCAAAAGAAAGAAAGAATTTGCAATTTTATGGGATAGTTTATGGGCGAAAATAACATAGAAATTTTATTAATGAATAATTATGCAAAAATTTCATTAAT